TCGCTCGCGCGGCTGCATTCTGGATGAGTTGAAGTCTCCGAATACTCTTCAAAGGCTGCCCCATGTAGAGCGCAAACAACACCTGTTTCCCATAACGGTGAATGCCTTCACTCTGCTAAACAAATAATTCCCTCACCGCAGTCAAACCATTGACTAAGGCTGCATTACTATTACAATGTTTCCCCAAAAATAAGACAGGGTTTTATTTTCTTTTGACCCCCCAAAATAAGTGCTTGGTCTTATTTTCAGGGAGGTCTTGTTATTTTTGAGGTGCAGGAGGGAGCGAGGGTGGTCACCTCATGGCTGCTGCTGTGTTGCGATATTTTCGGGGGAGGGTTTATTTTAGTCCATGTGCTCAAAAGCCCAATTGGGCTTATTATCCGGGGAGGTCTTATTTTGGGGGAAACAGGGTCCTATCACTCATCTCCCATTTATGACTGCATGACTGTAACTTTATTGATTGTTTCCTAGTATGATTTGATTACTTATTTGTACCCTATGACTATCATTAAGTGTTTTACCTTATGATTTGTGATGAATGTATCTTTTATGTACACTGAGAGCATATGCACCAAAGACAAATTCCATGCGTGTCCAATTATGCTTGGCCAATACAGAAATCTATTCTATTCTATTCTATTCTATTCTATTCTATTCTATTCTATTCTATTCTATTCTATTCTATTCTCTATATTCTATTCTATTCTACCATTTGTAGAGTTTCAGACTTAGGCTAATCACCACTGTCTTCTTTTCACACAACCACTTCTAGAGCCTTTCCCATGGGGTCTCCTTAATGTCTTATCACCCTTTCTCCAGGAAGTCTGGAGCCACTAACTGGGGGGCCCTTTCTGGGAACACCGTGCGTTGTTGCCTGTGATATAGCTCCATTCTATAGACCTGTTTTCCTGGCAATGGCACTGCAGACGTCAAAACAAAACTGTTACTCAACCTGGTAGGAATTGGGCCATAGGCAAGAATTCTCTGAAAGGAAGTGGACTGGAGAAAGCCTCTCTCTTTCTCTGTTGCAGAACCAATCAGGATGTCCCAGTCTGAGTAAAAAAAAACCTGACACTCTTTTTAAAAGAAACTGGCCCGTGCCAAAGAGATCTTCCTCTTCTTGGGGATCTCATTGACACCGTGGGACTCCTGTGCATTTGTCCTGGAGCTGTTTTGCCTTCAGACAAGATTATATGGACCCAGGATGTCCCTTCATGCCACAGGGACACCAACCAACCAGATTATGGAAGGCCCAGAGGCTAAAGTGATTCCAATTGTGTTCCTGACGATGTGCTTCCTAATTGGGATCCCTGGCAATGGTCTCGTGATCTGGACCATCCTTTCCAAATTCCCCCAGCGCTCATTTACCATTGCCCTCATCCTGAACTTAGCGGTGGCCGACTTACTGGCTATACTGACGGTGCCTTTCTGGACGTACTATTTTGCCAAAAGCTGGGTTTTTGGGGACTTCATGTGCCGGTTCCTCATGTACCTTGTGTATTTGACCGTCTACACCAGCATCTTCTCCATCACCTTAATGAGCCTCCACCGCTTTGCTGCGGTGATCCTGCCACTCGCTTCCCAAAGATGGCGGAAGCCGAGGGAGGTGCATGCAATCATGCTAGCCATTTGGTTGCTAGCGGGAGCTCTCTCCTGCCCATGCTTGATATTCTCATCCAAAGAGATGCCCAGAGGGAAGTGCACGGATGAATTTTACAACTCTGACAACCAGCACATTGCGGTTAATGTCGTGGAGACCCTGTTTGGCTTCGTGATCCCTTTTGCTGTGTTGGCAGTCTGTTACACTTACGTGGCGAGGAAGATTTGGACTCTGAAAAACCACAAGAAAATGAAAACCGGGAAGCTGATTGCTGCAGTCGTTGGAGCCTTCTTTGTTTGCTGGCTTCCTTACCACGTCTTAAACCTCATTACCGTCTCGGCATTGTTGTTGAAGCATGCCAAGCCCGAGGTCAGCCAGAACTTACTCAAGTCCATGAAAATTTTAACCAACGTTCATGGTGCGGTGGCCTTTTCCAGCAGCTGCATCAACCCTATTCTCTACGCCTTCGCAGCACGGAGTTTCCGCGGAGGGCTACGCGAGACAAATTTTGCAAAACTGTTCGAAAAACTGCGCAATGACACCGAGGAAAAATTAACAAAGGACAATACCGCTTCCATGCAGACTCTGTAGTTTGAGAAGAACCGAGAGCAAATCAGATAGCAAAACTCTTTATTTTCAGAGTGGAATGTAATTGTTGCATCTAGAAAGAACTATAGGGGAAGATTTCAGATAAAAGATTTTAGAGGATATAGAGAAACTGAGGTGAGAACAAAAGTCTTCAGAGAATTATTTTAGTTGGAAATATTGATAATTCCATGATGGTAATTTGGGGATTTTCTCCTGTGTGACTTGTTCAATTATTACTGTTTCATTTGTTTTTCCCAAGTAGTTATATTGCTCTACTCCTCTCCTCAGACCAGTCATACAGAAGGAATTAGTAATGTTTGCTTCTTATTGCTTATTGTATCCAGGTCTAAATTAACTATAGTTAGACCTTATTGGAATTTAAAAAGACACACAAGCATTAAACTTTAATTCATGATCCTGACTTATCTGCTTAATTAAGCTTGAATTAAGTTCTGACATCCATAAGAAAAGGTACCATGTTTTCCCCAAAATAAGACAGGGTCTTATTTTCATTCAATCCTTAAAATAAGCACTTGGCCTTATTTTTGGGGAGGTCTTAATATTTTTCAGGTACAGAAAGCAGCAAATGTGGTCACAATATTTTCTGGAGGGCTTATTTTTTGGGAAGGTTTATTTTAGCACATGCGCTCAAAAGCCCGATTGGGCTTATTATCTGGGGAGGTCTTATTTTAGGGGAAACAGGGAATTTTTAAATGGAAATACTGAAGTAAAACCTTCTAATCTTACTTCAAGGGTGTACCAATGAAAAGTTGAAGGAGAAACACGTGGTTTTTCCCTTCCTGCTAAATCATGGATTATTTTTCCAGGGTTTGCCACCGTTAGCTGAATCATGCAATTTATTAAGTCCTGACGGTTGCTATACCAATCCCAAACCAAATTATAGTTTAGTGCAATGTATGAATTTCTTCAGTGGCTCAAACCATATTTTAATGTTGGACAGATCAAAGTGAGGTGAAGCACCTCCATGCCTTTGTTAAATTTCCCTTGAGTGGGAATATTACCACCAGAAAAGAATTTGATAAGGATCTGATAAGACACTTCCTGAAAATGTATGTTTTGTGGTCAAATTTCCTACTTTAGTTCGGCAATGCATCACTTCCTGTTGTGATTTCAAAAATTACACAGCAAGAATCTCTTTTTCTTGGTGTTTTGGGGAACAGTGGGGGGTTAATAGAGAGGACTGACTCCTAGTTTTCTCGATGTTAATAGTTTCTGGAAACAAATCCCATTTCACTAAGTCTTTAAAATAGTTAATTAAAACATCTCGAGCCCAGTTCCAACTGCTGTTTGCTTTCTTCCTGCTTCTGAAGACAATTGATGCTCAGTATTTTATTTATGAGGGGTGCATTGTTTATTCTGTATTGTTTATTTATTCTGAAGGGATGTGGTGGCTCAGTGGCTAAGAACCTGAGCTTGTTGATCAGAAAGATCAGCGTAATGGAGTGAGCTCCTGTTACTTGTCCCTAGTTTCTGCCAATCTAGCTGTTCAAAAGCATGTAAAAATGCAAGTAGAAAAACAGGAACCATCTTTGGTGGGAAGAAAACAGTGTTCCATGCGCCTTCAGGATTAAGTCATGCCAGCCACATGACAATGGAGATGTCTTCGGGCAGCACTGGTTCTTTGGCTTTGAAACGGAGATGAGCACCACCCTCTAGAGTCGGGAACGACTAGCACATATGTGCGAGGGGAGCCTTTACCTTTACCTTTATTGTTTATTCTACACAATTCCGCATCACTTGAACAATTAGAAAGAATGGACATAAAAAGCAGCTATTGAGTAACAGTGGGGCTGCAGCTGGCAATTAATAAGTGTCCAGAGTTATTTCCCACACTATATGGTATATTGCAAATATGACTTTGTCCCAGAAAATCCAATTGGCTACTGCGACTGGAAACAGAATGGAAAACAATTCAGTTACTATACGTCTAAAAAATATCTGTGCAAAAATCACATTAAGACTCTTCTGTTAAGCAGTAGGACATTATATCCCTTGGTTGTTTTCTCATAGGCATGTATTTGGCCAGTGGTGGGTTTCAAAAATTGTTCAAACCTACTCTGTGGGTGTGGCCTCCTTTGTGGGAGTNTTTAGTGAAGAGAAGGACCAGGGAAGACATGATAGCAGTCTTCCAATCTTTGAGGGGCTGCCAGAGAGAGGAGGGGGTCAAGCTATTTTCCAAAGTACCTGAAGGCCGGATAAGGAATAATGGATGGAAACTGACCAAGGAGAGATTCAACCTAGAAATAAGGGGGAACTTTCTGACAATGAGAACAGTCAACCAATGGAACAGAAGTTGTCCTTGGAAGTTGTGGGAACTTCATCACTTGAGGCTTTCAAGAAGAGATTGGACTTCCATCAGCCAGAAATGGTGTAGGGTCTCCTGCTTGACCGGAGGGGTGGGTTTGGAGTAGATGACCTACTGGGTCCCTTCCAACTCTGTTAATTTAAGTGCTATCTTTTCCTTTGTTAAGATTCTCTAAAGGGAAATAATTAAGTAGTGAACCAATTAGGCCAACAAACCATGTCTTAGCAGAACTGTCTGTCATGACATCCACAACTGTGGGGCTGCATTTCCCTGTGGGATGAGCTTCAATAAATAATTTTAAACGGTTTCCATTATAAACCGCGTAGGATTACTAGCTGATTGGGAAGTGGGACAAATAAAAAAGTAAAGATGGTGATCTTACTTCTATCCCCGATGCCTAAATGTGCTTTCCTTGCATGATGCACTCTTTGGTCATTTGGACATGGTCCCAAATAAGACACTCACCTCGATTATGGATCGCGATTGGACTGGCGCAGCATCATCCAATCTGTTTTGCATTCCAAAGTAAGCAAAATCTGACCCCGGTCTGGAGAAATAAAAACACAACTCATGTCTAATGTGCTATTGTGACCTTTTTCTCTCTGATGCATACATGCAGCTAAACTGAACATTGAGGCATACTGTAAATCAATGCCTTAGTGCTGGGCATGAAAGAAATAAGGAAGGGTAGGGTAGGATAGGATAGGATAGAAAATGGAACAGAATAGAAAATAGAACAGAAATAGAATAGAATAGCATAGAAATCGAACAGGAATGGAATGGAGTAGAAAGAAATAGAAATAGAATTAGGAACAGAATAGAATAAATAAAAAAGTAGGAATAGAATAGTAGAGTAGAATAGAATAGAATTCTTTATTGGCCAAATGTGATCAGACATAGAAGGAATTTACTTCCAATGCAAAAGCTCTCAGTATTCACACGTAAAACAACAAAGTTATAGATCATAGATCATAAATAGGCTATCAAAAATAAATAGCCCCTCCCGATATTCAGACTCTTGAATCTCACATCATTTTGTTGATTCAGTAGTTCAGAAAGGGAGAGAATAGTTTGGAGATGCAGGTGGGGAAGGAGATGGTTAAATCAGATCAGGCCTTTTGATGGACAGAGCTCAAAGGCGAGAATTCTCTTTCACGTTTATGGGAGGCAGGGGTGTCCCCGGGAACTAAGACTTGGGGATTTTTAACTCTCAGCCTCTGATGATCCCAAGTAAGGATGAAACTGGTAACACGGTGCCTCTAGGACAGTGATCAATATAAGAAGAACATTACTTACTGCACAGTGCAGTGAGCAGCAGTAATAACCCAGTTTTCATTGATCAGGGAACCACCACAAAAATGGTGACGTGAGCTAGTCTAGAGAAAGAAAAAAAATATATCAAAATAGCACAGATTTGGAACGCACGAAAGATAAAATGCATCAAGAAAACAGAATGTTGGGCAACTTTATGCTCCTAATTTTTCCTTTGCTTTCCCCTTTCATTTTTTTTGAGGATTTGAACTAAACAGATCAAGGGGAGAAAAACAATCTGTAGTTCACCTTTTCCTAGTATAGACATGAATGAATTCAAAAGCCACGTCCTATTGGCAATTAATTTCGAGCATTCTTTTCACTTTGGATGCAAAAGTAGCAGCAAATAAACGCTAAATAAATCTGTCTTGGAAAAAAATCGTGCACACTCTTCTACCAGGAATCCAGAAAGAATATACAATACTAAAAGTTGCACGCATATAGTATTAGTTAATTTACAACCAAAAAAAAAACCACACACATTTGTACAACAGAGAAAGGTAAGTAGTCTTTGATTTAAAAAAACACAGTTTATTTACATTTTAAAATATCATTTTCATGAATTTTAGGAATTGGGAAAAGTGCAAATAAGTGCCTGCATATATTCTGAAGGTCAGCAAAAATGACATCACATTTTTAAAAAATTTTCAGAAATACACTACTGTGTTGTTAACGGCAACAAAATTTTAGTCACTTTTTCTGGGGCAGCTTCAAGTCCACCCTACCCTATTCTCAACTATGCACTATTATTATGTCTTAAAAGGGTAGCCTTATTATGCCAAACTCTGCTTGTCCAAGTGCTCATTTATTTTTATGAGTAACAGACTTACTAAAACCAGCCAGAGTTTAAACTAGGATTAATAGAGCTGCAGCGTCTTTTTCTCACTTCAAGGATCATTGTGAGAAATATACCTATTTAAGGTAAAGGCAAAAGTTCCCCTTGCACATATGTGCTAATCATTTCTGACTCTAGGGGGCGGTGCTCATCTCCGTCTCAAAGCTGAAGAGCCAAAGAGTCCGAAGACGTCTCCGTGGTCATGTGGCCGGCATGACTAAACACCGAAGGTGCACGGAATATTGTTACCTTCTCACCAAAGATGGTTCCTGTTTTTCTACTTGCATTTTTTACGTGCTTTCGAACTGCTGTGTTTCCCCAAAAATAAGACAGGGTCTTATTTTCTTTTGACCCCTAAAATAAGTGCTTGGTCTTGTTTACGGGGAATTCTTATTATTTTTGAGGTGCAGGGAGCGGTGAGGATGGTCACCTCATAGGCTGCTGCTGTGTTGCAATATTTTTGGGGAGGGCTTATTTTGGGGAGAGGGCTTATTTGAGCACATGTGCTCAAAAGCCCGATTGGGTTTATTATCCGGGGCGGTCTTATTTTTGGGGAAACAGGGTAGGTTGGCAGAAGCTGGGACAAGTAACGGGAGCTCACTCCGTTATATGGTGCTAGGGATTAAAACATCTGCCACTACCTGGGATTGAACTCTCAACCTTATGAATGTAAGGCAAGTGTCTTCACCATTAGGCCACCACACCACTCTACCTTCTATCATAAACAATGTGCTTTAATTGTGCCCACATGTTGACTCAATTCAACCAGACAACAACTTGGTGCTCCATCCTCTATCTTCTTCCATTCCAGGGTCCTCAGCTTGCCTGCTGTGCCTAAAATGCAGTTCAGCATCTTGGATATAAGGAGAATAGTACTTATCCTCACCACCACTATTGAGCTACCAGTGACCATGGTTGATGTCCTTACCTGCAGCGAGACTTGCCAGGGCCAAGAATTAGGAATGGCATCCACCCCGTTGATAACTCTCGCTGTATATTTCACATCAGGCTTAATGACTGGGATCCCACAGCCTACAAAAAGACAAAGAGGGTCAATCTGATAAGTATCTTAGATCTGGACTGAGTAGCCTTCCATGAAAGGCAAGAAGGTTGTGGAGGCTGGTTCAGATTTGTTCGTTCGCTGCTTATTCTTGACAAGCTCAGGGAAACCAGAAGCTACACACAACTGGTTGGCTGTTACACTTTAGGCTACAGAATGGGGGCATTTTAAATTATCAAGTTGAGAAAGCCATAATTGGCCCTTGAGTGATACATGTGGCAGGGCCCACATTCTGAAATTTTCCTGGACAAAGTAGGGCCAAAGTAAATTTGATGTAACTCCGCTTGAATGTCCATTTCAATCTTCTAAGTCAGTGGTTCCCAAACTTGGCAACTTTAAGACTTGTGGACTTCAACTCCCAGAATTCTCCAGCTAGCTCTTCTGGCTGGAGAACTCTGGGAGTNGGCGCGCTTCTGCGCTCATTCGTCGGCACTATTTAGAACTCGTGGTTTTGTCGCTGCAGTTTCGTCGGGTGCACTTTTGTCGAGCACGCATTTGTCGGGGAACCCAGGTCAGTCAAAAGAGGCAAAGATGTTCTGTGAACACAGTAACTCTTCCCCCTATTCATAATATTCAAGGTGATGATGGAACAGTGGTGGGATTCAACCAGTGTAACAACCAGTTCGCTGAGAGTACACTTCACCGAGCACGCACTCCGCCCGCTCACAGTTCGTTTTTAAACAACTCTAAAACTTACCTTCTACTGCAGCCCCAGTGGGTAAAGCAGTTGAGGCGTGACAGTTGCTCTGCTGCGCCCATCAGCTGGGCTTCAAACAAAGGGAATATAGGGCAGACTAGCGCAGGGGCGGTGGGCGGGGTCAACTGATGTCTGGAACTACTGGTTTGTGCAAGCCACTCCGAACCGGCTGAATCGTCCCCCTGGTTGGGAACTCCCAAGGACTTCTCCTCCCCTCCCCAGTTTGAAAACTGACTCAGTTTGTGACAGTAGGTGTTTGGAAACAAGTATGACGTGTTGTTGAGTATGACTCAGAGAAACTCTTTTACTCTGCATGTCATCAATAAAAAGTGAAGCCTATCTCAAAGGTTTAATATAGTCAGGGCAAAAGTATTACAAGGAGGCTGAAGAAACGTTTCCCAACTCTGCATTATTAACAATTGCAGAAGACTTCCTTTCATGATATTCTTTCTTTCTCTTTCTTTCTTTCACAAGAGTCCCAGATCTGAGAATCAGTGTAGGCTAACGGCAGTTACGAGACTCGCTTCCTGAACTCTGGCAGGTGTTTTCTCACGGATGCCAGAAACGCTATTTATGTTCAACTCTGCCCAGTAAAGACGCAGAATTTCAGCACTGCAGTGCAAAGAACAGGGAGAGATAGTCACCTCTCAAAAAGAGATTTGGATTGTCCATTTCCCTTAAGGCCTGGGGTGATGGTGGTTTGCATGTTAATCTTTTAGTAAGATCTGGACTAGATGCTTTCTTGCCAGTGAAATGTTTTCCAGGATTGTAGCAATACGAGAGGTGGAACTCTCAATCCAAAATACCAGCTATAGGATCTTTTCCCTACTCAATTACATCAGGCACCAAGCTTTGAACTTACCAATGTGCAGGTTTTATTTTAAGAGATAAAGATAAAGATATCTCAGGGGTTGCCACAAAGAAGAGGGAGTCAAGCTATTCTCCAAAGCGTCTGAAGGCAGGACAAGAAGCAACAGGTGGAAACTGATCAAGGAGAGAAGCAACTTAGAACTAAGGAGAAATTTCCTGGCAGTGAGAACAATTAATCCATGCAATAACTTGCCTCCAGAAGTTGTCAATGCTCCAACACTGGAAGTTTTTAAGAAGAATTTGGGCAACCATTTGTCTGAAATGGTGTAGGGCTTCCTGCCTGAGCAGAGGGTTGGACTAGAAGACCTCCAAGGCCCCTTTCAATTCTGTTATTCTGTTCTGTTAAAGTTTTCCCCTGTTCAGTCATGTCTGACACTGTGGGACGATGCTCATCTCCGTTTCCTTAGCCAAGGGAGCCAGCGTTGTCCGAAGACATTTCTGTGGTCATGTGGCCAGCATGACTATACACCGAGGTGAATGCAGCGCTGTTACCTTCCTATCAAAGTGGTACCTATTTATCTACTCGCACATTTGCATGCTTTCGAACTGCTAGGTGGACAGGAACTGGGACAAGTAATGGGACATCACCCTGTTGCGTGATGCTTGGGTCTCGAACCTGAGCTGTCTGCTTTCCAAGCTCACTGTGTTTAATTGTTGAGCCATCATGCCTGCCTTAAGAGTTACAATAAGATAGACAATAACCCAGTGGTGGGATTCAAATAATTTAACAACTGGTTCTCTCTCCAAATGATTTCTTCCAACAACCAGTTCACCAAACTGTTCAGAAACTTAACAACTGGTTCTCCCGAAGCGGTGTGAACTGGCTGAATCCCACCACTGCAATAACCCAAACTAGGTTTATAAAAAATAACTGTAAAGGTAAAAGTTCCCCTCGCACATATGTGCTAGTCGTTCCCAACTCTAGGGGGCGGTGTTCATCTCCGTTTCAAAGCCGAAGAACCAGCGCTGTCCGAAGATGTCTCCGCGGTCATGTGGCCAGCATGACTAAACGCCAAAGGCGCACTGAACGCTGTTACCTTCCCACCAAAGGTGGTTCCTCTTTTCTACTTGCATTTTTTACGTGCTAAGTTGGCAGAAGCTGGGACAAGTAATGGGAGCTCACTCCATTATGCGGCGCTAGGGATTCGAACCACTGAACTGCCGACCTTTCTGATCGACAAGCTCAGCTTCTTAGCCTCTGAGCCACTGCATGCCCTTAGAAATAACTTAAAGAGATACAATAACCTACACTGGCATTGTCCCTCCCAATCTCCATTTTGTGTGCAATGATTCCGAGTGACCAACTCAAAGATCTTTCACTGAGTAATTCTGGCAGCTTCAGCCTGGCTAGCTTTTTTTGTTTGTTTGTTTGTTTGTTTGTTTGTTTTTAAACAAACTCTGCTTATTTCTATTACTGTTTTCCTTTCTTTGCTGCAGGGAGAAACTTTCCACAATCTCACACCTGTGAAATCTCTAATCAGACTGATTTGTCCTTCCATTCCTCCCGTTGCAGAGCCCGAGGGAAGAGCCTTGGGGGTTGCAGCTGGGCGATGAGACTCCCAAATGGTTTTGCTTGGACTATGACCTTCCCTTGACAGGCAGCAACCTTTGTTGTTGTTGGAGGGGGGGGGACTAGTATTGTCTGTACTGGCAGATAAGCTCATTTTGGGTGTGTTTTGGGATCTAGAATTTTTGGCTTATCCATGAGTACATTCAGTATCTGGTTTCCCACCATAAAATAACTGTAACGCGCTCTACATGGAGCTGCCCCTGAAGAGTGTTCGAAGACTTCAGTTAGTCTAGAATGCAGCCGCGTGAGCAATTGTGGGTGTACCTAGGGTGTACCTATCCTCCGCAAGCTGCACTGGCTTCCCATTGGTCTCCGGACACGCTTCAAGGTGCTAGTCGTTACTTTTAAAGCCCTACATGGTATCGGACCTGGCTACCTGAGAGACCGCCTCCTGCCAGTTGCCTCCCAGAGACCTATTAGATCGCACAGATTAGGCCTCCTCCAGATTCCATCTGCTGGTCAATGTTGGCTGGCGACTCCCCGGTGGAGGGCCTTCTCTGTAGCTGCTCCGGCCCTATGGAACGATCTCCCCATTGAGATCCGGACCCTTACTACCCTTCCGGCCTTCCGCAAAGCGATTAAGACCTGGCTGTTCTGGCAGGCCTGGGGCTGTTGATTTATCCAGCCCCATCTTAAGTTATGAATGTTGTCGAACTTTAATGTTGTCTGTATTCTTTGTATGTCCCCCCCCCCACTCCCCTTTTTTCCCTTTAAGCCGCCCTGAGTCTTCCGAGATTGGGCGGCATACAAACCAAATAAGTACAATACAATACAATACAATAAGATTGTTCTGGTTCTCAACCTTTAAGCCCCTGGTTGATTCAACGGCCTACTGCTCTACAGTAGATAGCACTAGCACAACAGCACTTAGAGTCAAGTGCTCAGAAAGGAACAGGTTCAGAAGAGAAAGGGGAAAAAGCCATCAAAATGGAAGGCCTGCCGACTTCGAGGAAATAAAATAGCCCTCGACTTACAACAGTTCATTTAATGACCGCTAGAATGGCACTGGGAAACAGTGACTTAATGACCTTTTTTCACACTCACGACCGTTGGACCCCATGGTCTCGTGATCAAAATTCAGATGTTTGGCATTTGACTCATATTTACGACGGTTGCAGGGCCCTGGGGTCACGTTGATCCCCTTTTGCGACCTTCGGACAAGCAAAGTCAATGGGGAAGCCAAGATTCACTTACCCACCGCGTGACTAGTTTAACAATTGAAGCAATTCACTTAACAACGGTGGCAAGAACGGTCGTAAAATACGGCAAAATGCACAAATGTCTCGCTTAGCAACAGCTGTATGGGGCTCAATTGAGGTCGTAAGTCGAGAACTACCGTGTTTCTCTAAAAATAAGACCGGGTCATATTATTTTTTGCTGCAAAAGATGCATTAGGGCTTATTTTCTGGTTAGGTCTTATTTTGGGGGAAATACGGTACTAATTGCATCCGTCTGGCTGATGACCTTAACTGGGGCTTATTTTTGCGGTAGACCTTATATTATGAGCACTCCGAAGAATCATGCTAGGGTTTATTTTCCCGTTGGGTCTTATTTTGGGGAAAACAGGGTATATACCATTTTACGGGGCTTTATAGCCCTCACTAGGAGGTTTACAGAGACAGCCTCTTGCCCCAAACAATCTGGATCCTCATCTGACCCACCTTGGAAGGATCAACCTTGAGCCTGATGAGATTTGAACTGCCAAATTTACAGAGTCAGCCTATTTCCCCCAACAATCTGGGCCCTCATTTTACCCACCTCGGAAGGATGGAAGGCTGAGTCAAATTTGAGCCTGGTGGGATTCAAACTGCCAAATTGCAGGCAGCCAGCAGTCAGCAGAAATATCCTGCAGTATTGCACACTAACCACTGCGGACCAAAGAAGGAAGGAAGGAAGGAAGGAAGGAAGGAAGGAAGGAAGGAAGGAAGGAAGGAAGGAAGGAAGGAAGAACAATAGCAATAGCACTTCGACATATACTGCTTCACAGACCTCTCTAAGTGGTTTACAGAATCAGCCTATTGCCCCCAACAATCTGGGTCCTCATTTTACCCACCTCAGAAGGATGGAAGGCTGAGTCAACCTGGATCCTGGTGAGATTTGATCTGCCAAACTGATGGCAGCCAATGATCAGCAGAAGTAGCCTGCAGTACTGCATTCTAACCACTCTGCCACCTCTGTTCTTATTACCGGGTGAAGATTTGGGTGCATCTTATACACTGAATAC